GATGAGAATGGGATACAATTCATATGTTACTTTCAATGCATGGATATATATAATGTATGTACAAAGTCAAGCATGTGCATCCATACTTACAAGCAAACTTAAATACTAACAACCATAGGCTCTTTTTCACAAGCTAATTACATTATCATCTTAGCTGCAAATATTCACATCTTAAGATCAGGCATTTAAATCATATCAAAAGTAACAAAACTGCCAAACAACTAACCCCTCTAAAACACCTCACAAGTGGAATTGTATACAGCAAATGTGTGAAGGTTCTTTGAACTGGTGACACTTGCAAGTAAAGCTCTGCTGTTAATACTTGATGCAAAAACAACATTGATATAAATGGACATCCTGCCAAAATAAGAAGAAAAATCACTTTTATAGAGCAGCACGATATTTGACTATGTAAATAAATAATAGACATAGGATACAATCACTTTCCCAATTTTCAATATAACTGGATATCTGATAGAAAAGTATACAGTCTAATACACCAAACTTTACAATGGGAATTTCCAAAGACTCTTACTTACCCACTTGCAGAAACTGTGAAACAATGTACAGCAAGAAACTTTTTTGAATTCTTTTATGATAGGCATACAATGGATTCTTGAAGAGGCCCAGTACATAGACCTTCTGGAATTCATTGAGGACGAGCATAAGAGTGGTGACTGCAAGGATTACTGATCCTGTGATGTTGCGTGCATAGTCCTGGAGTAATGGATGGAATGTGTTAACATGTTGAGTGTTTACCTTGTGAAAATAAGAAAATTATCATCAACAATTAAGTGACAATTATATTAACAAAACTATACATCATTACATTATGACACAAACAACTAATCTATGAAATATGTAGAGAAATTTCTCTCGATTTGGACCATAACTCATGTAATTCCCTTTTCTGTAAACATAAGATGAAACTAAATTAAAAGAACAGAAAAGTAAAAAAAAACAGAAAGAATTTGCATATGGAAAAAAGGAAGTGCCAGAGTGTCCACGCACCTCAAAGAGAAATGGAATATTAAAAAATTGTAGCTTCTTCACATCCTCTATGGTTGCCTCTACTTGGCAATCTATTTCATTTGGTCTCCATAGGTGTCAGGCCTGAGGACAGCGAAGAACAGTGGCAGAAAGAAAGTCAATTCTCGACGGCATGTGACACGGCGCAGAGAAGTTTGCCACCAACGGGGTGCGTCTCCTCGTACTTGCCCGACATCCCAGTGAGGAACTTGACATTGTGTGAGAGCAGGGATGCAATCATCCACCCTGGAAACAGAGAATGCTTAAATTTAGCCTAATACCCCGAATCACAGGAAGAGAAGACATTTACTGTGAAGAAAAGACATACGACCTGAAACAAACTAAGCATCCTCTGTAGAAAAGGTATGAATGAGACTGGATACCTTCACAATACAAGAGATGTATTTGACCGGTTTCAATTACGTCTTCCTCAGAAATACATGACAAAGACATAATCGAAACCAGTCAAATACATCTCTTGTATTGTGAAGATATCCAGTCTCGTTCATACCTTTTCTACAGAGGATGTTTAATTTGTTTCAGGTCGTATGTCTTTTCTTCACAGTAAATGTCTTCTCTTCCTGTGATTTGGGGTATTAGGCTAAATTGATACATCAATGGCATGTTTTTAGTATAACTTCATTGATGTGACTAATCAATCATACTGAATCTTGGATACCAAAATTCAGCCTTTGTTGGTCATTCACAATAATTTAAATGAAAGCAAAGCCATAAAAAATGGACATTAAAACAGTGTACCAGAGTAACGGTACCTAAATCCAGGCTCAAAAAATATCCCCAGATTGCAGCAACGATCAGTTTTGAGTCAAAGGTAGGCATGGTGGCTACGTTGAAAAGGCTCAAGGTGCCGAAAAAGGAGTAGCCAATTAGATGTCCATCGGAGCATACTGGTGAACCCCCTGTGGGTGGGATTAAAAAGGTTAGACACGGACATTTTTACATGTCATGACAATGGAGAACTAGCTATTGAAATTCATATGCATCTTTATGAATTGGCCAAATCACACAAAATAACGTCTGATTAACTATTCATTGACAAGTTGTCTTCCTATAAAAACTATATTTACACATAAACTGATACCCTAAATGATGTATTGCATTTTAGTGATGTAGATCTAGAATTATTATGAGTTATTTTGTATATATTATATCTAATGGAAGTACAAGCCAACTGTAAATTCAGGGAATGGCCATTTCACACTGGCTTGTATCTGCCCTTTTAAATTTCAGAAGCTTATGTGCTGAATACCTCAATAATGTCAAAACAATTTTTTAATTAGTAACTCTGCTGGAACCTACAAGGAAGCCTCTTTCTTCCGATTCTTTTTTCTTTTAAGAGGATGTCAGTGTGTTCTGCAGTTTTTTTTTTTTTTTTTTTTTTTTTTTTACTTTTGAAAATAAAAAGTATGATTATTCAGTAAGCATGTAACATTTATTAACAAAAGTTATCTTTGGGGTGACATATCCTCCTCCTGTTTGGGTATCCTCACTTCTTGTTTCAAAAAATGCATAATACTTATACACACAAAATATACAAAAAAATCAAGAAATTCTATATGACCATTTCTTTTAAATTGTAGTTTTTAAACTTCATGCATTTCACCAACCTAACATCAGAAGGGCTCCCCATATCAAGTGAAACGCTCCAAAATTACGCTTCAAAGCTGGTAAGTGTTTTTGTAGTATGATTTAGAATGTTTTGGAAAGCTCAAATAGAAAAAAAAAAAAAAAAAAAAAAGAGCAAAAAATATCTGCTTAAGCAAAATTATATATAAGATATTTTGTGACATCTGAATTCAAGTTTCCAAGCAAATTTACGAATAACAGAATATTTTAAATTTCACTCAATATGTACTTATGGATGACACCAAATAAAATTTAGATTTTCAATTTGATTTTCAAATTTTCAGCTATTGAAAGTGAATGAAGCTACTATGTATAAATGTTTTTCTGTCTTGCCTTCTTACCTGTCTCTCTATTCATATCCAACATAACCTTCATTATCCAGTATTCTAATATTAGAAACTAATCCTTTCCCCAACTATCAAAATAAATTGACAAGATAACCACACTTACCTAAACCAACAACAATCCATTGTTCCAACAGCCAGAATAAGAATGCATCTATGGGTGGCATTACCCCGAGCAGCCAAAGTATTAAAAAGCAAATGAAAATGATGTGGCAGATCATGTCTAAGATGGAGAGCCAGACAATGTGTGGATAGACACTGCAATGAAAAAAGGAGAAGTTATTTCAATGTCTTCCCTGGTTCAGCAGAATATATGACATCAAAGATACTAACTGATCTAAAATGAATTGTATTATATGATACAGAAGAAAATATGCAGTCATTTATATTAAAATATTATTTTTCAATTTTCTCACTCATAGGTTCCTTCATTATAATAAGGATAAGAGAATATGTTCCAGAGCTTACACATGAATATGATAAATCAAAACACAGACGAGGATGTGCACTGGTCGCGAAAGAAGAGCCAGATCAAAGGGGAGGGGCCGATACAGGGCAGGTTCAGGTGTAGGTCCACCAATCAGTGGCCAGACTCCAGACCCCACAGTTATGAGACCAATTATTGTGTAGGCAAGCGACAAGCCCCATGACTAGAGCAAGAAATGATTTTGTTAATATTTCTATTTTATTTTAGTTGGTCTCAATGTAGCATTATTAAAAGCACTAACAAAAAAAAAAAAAAAGTAACATTTTTTTTCCTCTCTATATTAAAACTTGTATAATACTCACAACAAAATCCTACTTGCATTATAACTTAACACATATATCACAAATGTATGAAGAGTATTGCTTCCACTGACCACATTGTATTCCAGGATCGTCTTTGGTCTGACGTAGTATACAGCCGATCCACAGACAAGCCCACAAACAAGTGAGTGCACAATAATACTAGCTATTAAACGCTTCTCTCTTATAAGAAATGCCCACGTCCTGGCACCGATGGGTGAATCAAAGAGAAGGACCTCCTCATCTGATGCAAGGTTCATCTGCAATGTTTGAAAATGGATATCCTTTAGATCAAAACCTGCTAAACACTCTTTGGTTTAATAAATACATGGGCACTTTATTTTTGGCATTAATGCTTTGCTAGTAATGATAAACTGCATGGATAATAACAACAAAAAATTATATATCATACAAGAATGCTATCACAATACAGATCTAAATGTAATCATTAAAATGTCAACTTTGAGGAACAAAATGAACAACATATATATAGCTACAAAAAATGCGACTTCTTACTTGCTCTATCTCTCTTGACTTTGATCTTCTATTGCGAAGGCAAAAAGCAAGGCCCTGAGTGAAGGCGGCATAGATCAAGCAAGCTGCACCATTTGAGAATATTGCTTGAGGTAAAGTGACATGGCCATGGTGTTCCAACGCAATAAACAGTGTGCAGAGTAAGGGCGCACCACTGAAGAGAAGAATCTGTAAAAGATGAATAATAATTAATTTCCAAAAAATGAATTTAATAAAACTTGTTTCATTTGAAGTGAAAATGCAAACTACTCACTTGCATCAAATATATATATACAGGAACATCTTGGGAGGCAAAGAGCCGTAAGCCCCCAAAGAAGGTTTCTATGAGCCGACGGAAGATGAAAGGCTTCTTGTAACTGTTGACTAATGGGGACTCCATCCTAACTCGCCCAGGGGCCCAGGCCAGGCGAGCGGTAGTCAAGAAGTCATCCTGAAAAGAGAACAGGACAAAGTATGAGATGCACCATTTGCTAAGGATATCTCATACCTTTCAGGCTTAACAAATTTAGCATTGTTAGTATTATTGCCAAAAACCAATATAAATGGACATTAGACACCATGAGAAATCCATTGACACCAAATTTAATGAATTTGAAAATACAGACGTTTCTACAAGATCACAGAAAAGGAATGGTACAGTTTCAGTTTCAAACATGCATG